CTCTGGATCTCTGTGAGTTCAAGGCCACATTGGAAATAGCCAAGCTTGGTGACACACCTTTAATCCCAGAAAGCCAGCCTTTAATCCCAGGGAGTGGTGGTAGAAAGCAAAAAGATATATAAGGCGTGAGGACCAGAAACTAGAAGATTTTGGCTGGTAAAGCATTCAGGCTTTTCAGCAGTAATTCAGCTGAGACCCATTCTGGATGAGGACTCAGAGGCCTCCAGTCTGAGGAGACAAGACCAGCTGGGGATCCGGCGAGGTGAGATAGCTGTGGTTTGTTCTGTCTCTCTGATCTACCAGCATTGACCCTGATAACTGGCCTCGGGTTTGATTTTATTAATAAGAACTTTTAAGATTCCTGCTACATCCTCCCCTTCCACTTTTCTTTCCTTAGTATTCCTGCCCCCACGCTGTTATTATTATTATCATCCCACGTTCCTTACTTCATTCCTCCCTGCTTTTCATTAGTTCATCCTGTTTTTGTTTTTGTTTTTTTCTGTCAGTGCTCGAGATGGAGCCTGGGTCTCTGGGAATGAAAATCCAGGGCTTCAAACATGCTAAACTCTGGCTCTGCCACTGAACTGCACCTCAAGCCCACTCACCTTTCTTGGTTTTTTTCTCTTTTTCCTTTATCTTCCTATTTATTTGATTATTTATGACAGTGTTTCATTATGTAGTCTGGTCTGACTTCCAGCTCTATCCATGCCTGGTCTCGTCTTTGGCCAATCTACTTAGCAGCATGCATGGGTTCTAATAGACTCAGAGTCAGTGAATCCTTCCAGAAGGCTAGAAGGAGGCCCGCTTCTATGATGAGTGTACCGTGTGTGACTGTGTGTGGCCCCACTCATGTTATGTGCACACACCTCTGCTGGTTGCGTTCCTTCCCATCTCTAGTGCAGAGGACCTGGCGCCTGGGTACACAAGCTTTTTCCGGAGGGTGGTTGGGATGGGTGGGAGATGGGGCTTGGCACTGATTGCTGCTGAGGAATTGAAGCAGGGCCGAGGGAGCCAGTTGTGGGACAGGTACACAATGCCGCCTGACATGTGGATGGCTTCCAGCATCTTACTGCCTTGTCCTCCAAGTACTCAAGCACATGACAGGGCAGTATGGGTGTTATAGATAAAATATTTTTTCTTATTTTTTATTTTTTGTTTTTTTGAGACAGGGTTTCTCTGTGTTGCTTTGGAGCCTGTCCTGGAACTCTCTCTGTAGACCAGGCTGGCCTTGAACTCACAGAGATCCACCTGCCTCTGCTTCCCAAGTGCTGGGATCAAAGGCTGCGTCACCGCCGCCCGGCTATAGATACAATCTTAACTGAAGCCCAAGTCGGCCTCGCATAGGACTAGGGCCTGCAAGGCGGAGGCGGCATTTCCTCCACAAAATGAACAATTCAACTTTTTGGTGTACTCAGGTTCGCGGAGGCGAAAGTGGGAAGGCTTTTGGCCCATAGAGGCCCCCGTAGCGAGGGGGCGGAGCCCGGAAGGAAGCAGGATGGCGGCTCTGGACAGTGACAGCGATGAGGATCTGGTCAGCTATGGGACGGGCCTGGAGCCTCTGGAGGAAGGTGAGGGTCCGATGGCCGGCGGAGTCTGCCGGGCGCAGGCTGGGTGTCCAGCACGTGGGCTCCAGCGACAGCTGGGTTTTGCTCTCTGTGGGCACAGGGAACCCGGTGGGGAGGTGTGTGCTCTGCACTCGTGTGCTCTGCACTCGTGTGCCGCCTTCCCGGGGGGCAGAGAAGGACGCGGAGGGGTGGGAGGTGCAAGAATGACTAAGCAACTTGGGTATGATGGAAGGTGGTCAGGCAGTCTCTTGCCGCGAGGGGACATTTGCACCCAGACTTGAAAGCAAAAGAAACCAGCCCTGGAAAGACCTGGGAAGAAACACTTGAGATAGGAAATCCCTGATGTGGGAGCAGCTTAGCAATCGAGGGACAGTCAGGACAGGTGTGGTTGGCACTTGCAGTGGTAAGGAGGGGTGTGTGTGTGTGTGTGTGTGTGTGTGTTGCTGTGCATGCTAGGCTAGCTCTTTAAAACCGAGTTACCCATCCAGCCCCAAGAATTAGAATCCTTTCATTTTTCAGACGGTCTCCTGTAGGTCACACTACCTCAGACCCACTATGTAGCTGAGACTGGCCTTGTACTCTTGATCCTCCTGGCCCGCTTTCCACGTGCTTGGTTTATAACTGTGTGCCATCTCACCCAGCGAGGAGTTTGGCTCTTATAGTAAGGGTAGGAAAAGTCATGGGTGCAGTTTACACAAGGAGAGATTCTTCCCCCTGTTTTGTTTGAGACAGGGTCTTGTTATCTCCATCTGGCTGGACTCATAGAGATCCACCTGCCTCTGTCTCCTGAGTGCTGGGATTAAAGGTGTGCGCCACCACCATCCAGCAGGATGTATGTTTTAACGTTTTTAGCTTTGATTTTGAGAATATTCTGGTTTGGGATGTGCAGAATAGAGCCAAGATATTAGCCTGACAGGTCTGGAGATAGTGGTTGTGTGGCCTGGAGAGTTAGTAGTGACAGCCGTTAAGTAGCCCTTTGTTTGGAGTAGGATTGGAAAGCAGGGTTGACTAGAATTGCTGGTGAGATATAGGGGTGAAGGTAAGATGAACCAAGGTTCTCTGGTGTTTCTGGTCTGTTCTACTTAATGACTGGCTTTACCACAACCACTGATGGCAGGGTTAACCCTGTGGGGAAGACAGAGGGGTCACAGTGGTCGTCCTGGGCCCAGAAGTTACCTGAAGATTTTCGCATGAATCTTTTTTTTTTTTCAGAGCTGAGGACTGAACCCAGGGCCTTGTGCTTGCTAGGCAAGCACTCTACCACTGAGCTAAATCCCCAACCCCTTAGCATGAATCTTAAAAGTTCTTATTAATAAAAACAAACCTGGACCAGGTATTGGGTTAAAGCTAGAAGATCAGAGAGGCAGAACAAGCCACAGCCACCTCACCTTGCCAGTTCCTCAGCTGATCCTGTTTCCTCAGACTGGGAGCTTCTGAGTCCTCATCCAAATGGATCTCAGCTGAACTGCTTCTTGAAAGCCTGAGGCATAACCAGCTAGTTATAGATATATTGGGGAACCCAATATCACCACAGTTATACTTCTGAGATATTTTCAGAGACCTTTTCTTACTGTTCTCTTTTGGCAGCAGTGGGTATAACAAAGAGTCTTTCTATATAGCCCAAGCTGGCCTTGTACTTGTTAAATATGTAGACTAGGCTGGCCTTGAGCTCAGGACAGTTCTCCTTAGCCTTCCAGGGACTGGGATTACAGGCTTGCCCATCACACACCCATTAGACAGTTCTGAGACAGAGTCCCACGTAGCCTGAGCTAGCCTCAGACTTGCAGCGTAGCTTGAACTTCTGGTCCTCCTGCTCCACCTCCTAAGTGCTGAGATCACAGGCATGTGCTGCATGCCTGATTTGTGTGGTGGTTTGGATGAAACTCAAGCTTTTGGGCATGCTAGGGAAGCACTCTATAACTGAGCTACATCCCCCGCCCAAACAGTTCTGATCATTGGAAACATTTACCAGATTCTGCCTGTACCCCTACCCTCTGCTGACCAAGGCGGAGAAAGGCTAGTCTCTGGATAAGTTCTTGTATGTGTGAAGGTTGCCCTTGTGTTTCCTGAGACATCTGTTTTACACCTACCACCCGCAGTTCCATAATAAATTTAGTTTCAAGTCCCCTCAGCGCTAACTGTAGAGTTCTTCTCTAAGTAGCCTGTGGGGTTTAGCAGGGCCATCATCCCTGTCTCTAATCCTAGACTGTTCGTTCAGTACAATCAAGATCACATCAGTTTTACTGGCAAGCAGAACACCCTAGGTGCTGGGGGATGTCTTTCTGTACGCTGTGAATATATGTTGTTCCTATTGGTTAATAAATAAGCTGCTTTGGCCTATGGTGAGGCAGCCTAGAGGCAGGCCGGAAATCCAAGGAGAGAGACAGGAAAGAGAAAGGTGGAGTGATGGAGATGCCAGACTGCTATCCTAGGAGCAACATGTAATGGGATGCAGGTAAAGCCACAGAACACATGGTGATACATAGATTAATAGTTACGGGTGGAGTTAACCTATAAGAGCTAGATAGCAAGAGGCCTGCCATAGGCCATACAGTTGATAATTAATATTAAGCCTCTGAATGATAATTTTATAATTGGCTGAGGGACCGCAGGGCCAGGTGGGACCTGAGAAAATTTATGGCTACATGTAGGAATATAAAGAAATCAGAATAAATATAAAGAATGATAAAGATCTTTGACTAGAGGAGTTTCAAATTTAGTAAAGAAGAAACTCACATGATTTGCAAGTGCTAAGATATGGGATGTTCTTGGGTAATATCCTTCACAAGCTAACAGAAGCCAGAGAGGGGAGACGCATCCTGTGAAGACTGCTCAGACAGGAGCGATGGAAGACGAGGGCCATGCACACAGCTGGAGCCAGGCTGAACATCCACTCATATGGTTTCTGTACTGCTGGTCCTACAGTTAGAAGGCCTTGATTTTTCTAATTCTTTCAAATTTTAAATTATATTGTTATTACCATGGGAAGGTATGCACATGCCACAGTTTGTGTGCAGAGGTCAGGGGACAACTTTGGGGAGTCAGTTCTCTCCTATTGTGTAGGTTCCAGAGATTAAACACAGGCTGTCAGCCTTGGCAACAAATGCCTTTATCCTCTGAGGTGTCCTGCCAGACCCTCCAATTCTTCCTGTTTTTAACAAAAGTTAGAAATGAAATAAACTGGTCTAACTATGCTTTTGAGGTGAAAGGAAAGGACATTGATTTGTAGACTTTTCTCTTATTTTGATCTAGAAACATTCTTTTTTTTCTTTTTGTTTTTTTGAGACAGGGTTTCTCTGTGTAGCCCTGGCTGTCCTGGAACTCACTCTGTAGACCAGGCTGGCCTCGAACTCATAGATTTGCCTGACTCTGCCACCAAGTGCTGGGATTAAAGGTGTGCACCATCATTGTCTGACTAGAAACATTTTCTTTCTTTCTTTTTTTAAAAATTTATTTATTATGTATACAGTGTTCTGAACGGGTCCCAGAATAGGACACCAGAGCTGTGAGCCACCATATGATTGCTGAGAGTTGAACTCAGGACCTTTGGAAGAGCAGCCAGTGCTCTTAAGCTCTGAGCCATCTCTCCAGCCCCCTCTTTTTTTTTTTTTTTTTTTTTTTTTAAGTTTTATCTTATTATTTATGTATATGTGTGTCTGTGTGGGGAGAGGATCTAGAAACATTTTTTAAAATAAGTTTTTATTATTTGTGTGTGTGTGTGTGTGTGTGTGTGTGTGTGTGTGTGTGTGTGTATGTGTAGGACTGCCAAAAGAGGACTTTAGATCTCTTGGAGATTGATTTACAGGCAGTTCTGCAGCCTGATGTGGGTACTAGGATCTGAGCTTAGGTCCTTTGGAAGAGCTGCAAGTGCTCTTAACTGTTGAGCCACCTCTCCAGCCTCTGGAAATACTCTGTGATTTCTCAGTGTTAGAAGCTTTAGAACTTTCTCCCTACCCCCACCCTTCTCCCTCCCTTCTTCCTTCCTTCCAGGGAACCCAGGGTCTTCCATGTGCTGATCCCTCTCTACCACTGAGCTACATTACAGCCCCTGATCCACTTTGAAGTTTCTGGCTGTGTTTTACAGTCCAACTAGACCAATAATCACTCTTAGTCCTGCTTTGAAGTTGTGACGGGTCAGATGGACATTGGTGGAGGCCTGGCTCCTCTGACTTAATTAAGCCTTAATTAAAGTCTCTGGTCCTGACAGCAGGGTTCATTGTCTAAGTATTAGCTAGGGGTTGACTGACAGCTGTGGAAGGAGGCATCCATCAGTACTTATCTCCTCTTCCTTGGACACCGTCGTCACCTCATTCTAGAATGCTCATCTCCAGCCCTCCTGGACAGATTCATTTCTGGGCTGTTTTCCTTCTCCTTTAGTGCTGTGCCTGTCACTCCTAAACCTACCTAGGCGTCCCTCGACACAGAGCATGTCACAGGCCCCATAGTGCCGTGCTCAAGGACCTTGGACTGCCTGTCTTTTCTTCTGATTGCTTCTCACCTATTCGTCTAGTTTGACTGGACTCTTTCAGCATATCTGACATTATGTTTTTGGTTTTTTTTTTTTGTGTGTGTGGGCATGCTTTGGATGAAATCAGGGCTTAATGCATGCTAAGCATGAATTATTCTGTTAGGCTACCTCTCTCCGCAAGCCCAACACTGTCCTATTAGACCTCCTGTTTGCTGATGGAATGCTTCTGTTGGAATGTGTCTGCAGCTAACAAAATTCTCCTCATTCTGAGGTCCTTCACACTGTCAGACACGCACACAGGTCTCTGCTGGGTTTGGTGCTTAGCTTTTTCTACCAGAGTCTAGAGCTGGGTGTCTTCCAGTGGTGAGGCCCTCATGAATTTCTAGCTGAGGAATGAGTAAGGAACAGTGTGGGTGGTAGCGCCAGCTTAGAGATAGTGTTGAGATCTGGCTCGACTTTGTGCTTATTAACCGTGGACCTCAGGCAGTTACTTAATAAGCACCCTATCATAGGATAGATGAGACAACTTATCAGC